CATCTTTTTTTTTCTGATATTAGAGTTGAACCCAGTGGCACTTTACTACTGAGCTACACCCCGAGCTTTTTTTATTTTTCATTTTGATACAGGGTCTTGGTAAGTTGCTGAGGCTGGCCTCAAACTTGTGATCCTCCTGCCTCAGTCTCCCAAGTTGCTGGGATTATAGGTGTGTGCCACTGTGCCTGGAAATATTGTCGTTCTTATGACTTTTTTTTTTCTCTACTAGTTAAACCATTTCTTAGTTTTTAAAGTCTACAAAAACAGACACCTACATTGATTCAGCTCATAGGGCATAGTCCACAATTTCCTGCAATGTTCTCAAATTACAGTGCCCCTGAGGATCAACTGGAGTGTTTATTTAAAATAAGTTTTTTGGGGGCTGGGGATGTGGCTCAAGCAGTAGCGTGCTCGCCTGGCATGCGTGCTGCCCGGGTTCGATCCTCAGCACCACATACAAACAAAGATGTTGTGTCCGCCAATAACTAACAAATAAATATTTAAAAAAAAATACAGTTTTTTTTTCTGGTCTCATCTCTAGATATGTAAACTTATTAGGATGGGGTGACCCCAGGAATGAGCTCTACATTCCTATTAAGCTCTCTACTGGATTTTCACTTTCTGGGCAATATGTACAAAGGTTTTTAGTACAGGACAGTGTTTATGAAAGTGCAGTCTGAGCCGGGTGCAGCTGTGAATGCCTGCAATCCCAGCAACTTGGGAGGCTGAGGCAGGAGGATTGCAAGTTGGAGGCCAGCCTCAGCAACTTAGTGAGGCCCTAAGGAACTTAATGAGACTTTTGTTTCAAAATAAAAAAATTAAAAAAAAAAGAGGAGGGGTGGGGTGCTGAGGATGTGGCTCAGTGGTTACACACTCCCGGGTTCAATTCCCAGTACCACAAACCAAAGTAGTGGTGGTGATAGCCTGAAACCACCAGCCACAGAGTTCTGCAAGGTCGCTTTGGAAGCCGTTCAACAAGATAACCATGGTGATCGCATCCATTGCTTAAAGCCCTGCATTTCATTTTGAGCCCTGGAGGGGATCAATACAAGCTGGGGTTACTTTTTTATCATGGTTATCTTGTTGATCTACACCCAAGATAAACTCTCCACGTTGCTCCTCTCCAGACCTGCGGCTTGAAAATATTGGCCCTATAAACCCTCACAGTCAAGGCTGTTAAGCGAAACAGCACCCTTGAACTCTGCAGTGGTGATGGGATGAATTAGGGGGTCCCCAATTGCCTGTAAAAGTCGAGGGCCCCCCTCAGAGTTCTTAACGACATCCACAATTGCTAAAGCATATTTTTGCTTAAAGGCAAAAATATTAGGCTTTCTGGGAGGATTTTTTTTGGTGGGGGGGAGGGAGTGTGGTTCTGCCTTAAGAACCATTTTTTTTTGCTTAGAATTACACAGCAAACCTAATTCCAAATGTACTTTAACTAGCTTGGAAAAAATGAAATCGGTAAGATTTAGAAATTCAGATGATGGCCGGATCATCAAGAGCCCCCTGGGTACCTGCTAGAAATTGAGCAGGTTTGGAAGTCGGCTCATGCATAATCTGAATATTTATCCATTCGATTCTGACTTGCCAGAGATTCATGCTAAACCTCCCCGTGTCTGGGAGGGTGGCTGTGTCCCCTGTTTGTGTTCCTCTACTTGCTGACCTGATGCTTGAACCTCTCTCTTCAGCTTCTTTCCCAAACACCAGGGGGTGGTGGTGGGGGGTGGTGGTGGAGAGCACTGGATTTTAAAAAGCGTGGTTAATGACAGAACGGTTGTAAAAAGGTTAGAAAGAATGTGTTCTGATGTCTGACCTTCCCAGTGTTTTAATCCCCGACAGAGGAGGAGATCAAAACGAATACAAGCACGTTTTAAGGGTTAGAGAAACACCTTCTCTGATAAATTAGTCCCTTTGTAGATCTCAAAACTGAATTAAAATACAGCACTCCGTCATCTCTCAGGCTAAACCCGTTAGATTTGCATGAAAAGGTACCCAAGCGCCAGCATTTTTGATGTGAGCCCCTGAACTGGGGACAGTTCATGCGGAGTTCACAACGGTTTCTTTTTCCTCTGCTTTTATTGTGCTTGATGGAGCAGATTCCTCAATTGTATTTTTCAGTGTCTGTTAATGTCCTTCTCGGAAACCGGGCGGTGTGGCCGTCCCCTTGGAACGCACGTGTACGTCCCATTAACGGCTAATGGAAGGTAGAAGGGACCAGTGGGAAACAAGTGAGCACCCACATCTCTTCTGACCTTACTCAAAAGGAGCAGGATTGTTAACTTCTGCGCACCTCTGGACCAGATAAAGCTCACATTTCTTTTCTTCCATCAGTTACCTAGGAGAGGAATCCAAGAAGCAGGAGGCCTCTGCGGAGACCCGGAGGCCAGCTGAGCCTCGTCAGTGAAGGCCATGGTTATTCTCCTGTGACCATGCATATGTAACACTGCTTGGTGGATGATCTCACTTCTTCTCCTTTTCATTAGATACTAGAGCCTCAAGATGATTTTTTTTTTTTCACGGTCGTTCAGGGAAAAACTAGTGTTTTCCCAACACACATTGCAAGAAGCAAATAATTCCTAAAGTTTAACGAATAACTGCCTGGAACTATTCTTGGGGAATTACTGTTCGCATTTGACTAGGCGGGTAAGAAATAAATTCTTTAGCTGGTTAAAATAGGTAGGAGTTATCATCTCAGCAATATTTATAGCCACACCCAAAAAAAAATAAATAAATGAGGAAGTCATGCCGTATTTCATCCCCGGTACATTGGGAAGGCTTGTAGGGTATTCAGCAGGAGGTGAGCAGCAGGAAGTGCATGGTTTGTTGGGGACGGTTTTGTCCTGGGGCTGCTGGTGTCTGGGATATGTACACTGAGGGGGAAATCGGGGTCTTTCCTTGAATTTCCTTGAGAGCCAACCTAAGCCAATGCTTGTAAGAAGCATGATAATCAAATACGGCATCAAACTGGTTCTGACGTGTGAAGATTCTGCCGTTTGAACCATCTGGAGGGGCATCCGTACAGTGTCTGTTTAGGTGTTTATCACTTTCCGACTCTTAGCGATTACTAATATTTCCCAGATGTCAGGCACCGTGCTGAATACAGATGATCCCGATCACTAAGACCCCCACATCAGGTTGGTACTGCTGTTATCCCCACATGGGCGAATAACCTTGTCCAAGGTCACAGAGACCGTGAGAGAATAGTCAGATCTCTCGGACTCCAACCCCTAACCCTTAATCAGGCTGGAAGACAGCTCCTCTCCTATCCTCTTAAATCCTGTGTAAAGGCCCCAGTTCTACCATTTCTGAAGGGTGTGGGGGTCTCTCTGGGGGATGAGTACATTTCAGCCACTGGTGACCAAAGAACTCAAGCTGGAACTTCCTTTATAAATATCATCTAACCTCTTTTTCCTTTGTCCTGTGACCACTTGATGAGTTATAAATGCTATTGCTCTGAGCGAAAAAATAAAATAAAGTGAAATAGATGGAGGTCATCTAAGCACACATGGACTCCTAATTCTTGACCTTTTTTACTTTTCTAGCTGTAAAGACAAGTATGTTCGTAATAAAAAGATGTCCCCAAACAGCAGTAAATTCCTAGCTTTCAATGACCCTGAAATACACCATTAGGTGATTTTTTTTTTTAGCCTCCTTGCTTAAATTATATTGAAGTAAATATTCTCAGATATTTTAATTTGCTTTAGGCTATTGTATTTCAGCGGGAGCTATCAGTGGGTCAGAAAGAAATAACAGGATCTCTGTTATCTATCACACAGAATTAGGTAAAGCTAAAACAAATGGTCTATTGGGCAAATTCTGCGGTTATATTGTGGGCATGTGCAATATGCAGCAGAAAATCCCACCATTATGTGCAACTATCGTAAAACGTACAATATGTGCCAATACAATAGGTGCAATATGTACCAGTAAAAATGTGGGAAAAAAGAAAAGTGCTGTGAACTCAGAGTAGGGATTCCTGGGTTCAAGTTCCTCTTCTGCTGTTGGTGCTCAGGAGCAAGCCCACAACCTGAAAGTCATCTTCCATCCAAGCAGCACAGAGATGATTTCAACTCAAAAATCCTATGACTGACTGCTGGGCGCGGTGGCACACACCTGTCATCCCAGTGGCTCAGGAGGCTGAGGCAGGAGGATCGCAAGTTCCAAGCCAGCCTCAGCAACAGCGAGGTGCTCAGCAACTCAGTGAGACCCTGTCTCTCAATAAAATACAGAATAGGGCTGGGGATGGGGCTCAGTGTTCAAGTGCCCCTGGGTTCAATCCCTGGTACCCTCCACCCCAAAATCCTATGACTGGCAGGATATGAAGTAATGCAGATGCAGATGAAATGTGAATCAAGACTGCACCTGGGACAGTTCCTTCTTAGCACCCTGCCAACCACCCCATGTTGGGACAGCTTCCTATGAATGTGCACATGTCATAAAAATCATAAACCACCCAGGCTTAGGTCTGTGGAAAACAGGATTTCCTTAAAACTGACCTGATTGGCAGTAACTCACACCCAGTTCCAGAGGTGATCAATACCCATCTTTGGGAAGAGAAGCCACCTCCCTCAGCTCCCCCGCCACCAGGGCCAGGCTTTTTAAAAAAAATCACCAATGTCACTGTTTAAACAATGTTTGCTAAAAATAGCGCTTGAGTCATGGGTTTTTAATTTGTTAGCACAGTGTTCCTAGACACGAATTGCAAATCTACAGAGACTCGAAAGAAATTTAATTAAAGGGGGTGAAGATAACATGAGTTACAGTAATGTAATAGCTAGAATCCTCCAAACTGTATGGGGTGATGCTGAAGGAAGATAGAGCCTTTCCATCACGAACGCTTCCCCAAGAAGTACGCATCTATCATGTCTGCGGTGATGAGTTAATCTAGCGACGCGGGGAGAGCTGTGCATGTTAATATGCCCGACGGCCCCTCTGTAGATCACTTATTAGACGGGGGGACACATGCCTGAGTCCAGGATACGCCTGGCGCACGTCCTTACCTTTCACCACCAAGTTTCCCGTGCTGCTAGCAGTTCCAAAATGGTTAGTGGCGATGCAGGTGTAACTCCCAGCGTCGGACTTAGTCACGTTGACGATTCGGAGGTTTCCATCCTCAGAGACGGTGATTCTGAAATGGAAGCCAAGAAAGCAAAGCGGGTGAAGTCTGTCTCTCGTACGACTCTTCAGACATAATTTCTGACCGTTTCTGTCCTCTTTCAAGACAGACAATCCGTTAGGGCATCTGATGGCCTCGTCTTTCTCTCTGGGAGGCTTGCCCACAGATCATCTGATCTATGCTTCCAGAATCCAGTGGAACGTGGGAGAACTCTGTGGAAGGTTCTGGAAGCATAGGAGGGAACGTTCACATTCCACGTCCGTCAGTTCTACTAGCTCAACTTCCTAAGTTGACGCTTCCTCGTCTGCAACATAGAACAAGACCAATCTGATAGGGTTAGGGAAAGAAGAGGGCCCGGGACATGTGGAGCCCATTTCTAGGTGCTTAAGAGGGTCTCCGTCATCTTAGAGACTGTGTCTTCTTGCTTAGTTATTGGTACATACAGGGAGAAGCAGACAGAAGCCTCCGGGCCTGCTTTCTTTTTTAACAGAATAATGAAATCAGCTTTCTTTTTGCACAACGATTGTCATTTCTGACAATCTGAAATGAACATACAAATGAGCAGGGTCATCCCGAATCAGCACAGGAGCATGGTACCCGTGGCTGGGTTACTTTTTGGTGAGGTCTGCAGTTTTGGCTACGACAAAGGTATTTTTTTTTTAAGTACCAGGGATTGAACTCAGGGGCACTCGACCACTGAGCCCCATCCCCAGCCCTATTTTGTATTTTATTTAGAAACAGGGTCTCCCTAAGTTGCTTAGCACCTCACCATTGCTGAGGCTGGCTTTGAACTCGCAATCCTCCTGTCTCAGCCTCCCAACCTGCTAGGATTACAGGTGTGTGCCAATGACAAAGTTGTGTTTGAACTCAAAATTACGAAAAAGAAGGCAACATTAAGACTAGGCTTAAGTCCTACTGTCAACACAGGGAAAACAAGAGATGCTCATTGAAGAATCATGCTCTTCAATCACCCAGCAAATCGTGTCCTTATAGAAAAGCCCAGATCAACAGAGCTCACGATTTGCTAGAAGATCCAGCTAAAATAACGAAGTTAATGAAGGATGAATTTTAGGTGCATATTAGTTTCTGAATATGTGTACTGATGCTTATGATAAAATGCCTCAAAGCCACAATTTTTAAACATGATTTCGCACAGGCTACATCAAAGCGTTGGTTGAAAATAAAAAAAGATCCAGAGAGGGAGGCCATTTGTTCATTCATACCACAGATACACATAACAGTTGCTCAATAAACACCATCTGATACCTCGTTTGCTAAAGAGCAGATGCACTAACAGAAATAGAGTCGCGATCAGATCGTAATTACCTCAATAATAACAAAAATAGCTTTCGAGGAGTTAATCATCTTCCTATTTATAAGATAATTTGCTTTGGAATTGCAAAATGTCAGCATCTGAGGACTCCATAAGTAAGGTGACATTTGTGTTTTAAAGATGAGCTCAGCCACCACCAGCTAACATGGGCCTGAGGCTCAGTAAAGGCTCTGAGGGGTCAGCTGACTCTTGCAAGCACCCAGGCCTATTAATCATTCATTCCAATTAAAATGTTATCGTTGCAATTCCAAAAACACCTAAAGCCATCGCCTACCCGGATCATGCTATAAAATGCCAAGGAGTGTGAATGAAGGATCCAGGGATGGAGTTTTCATGAGATGACTTGGGTTCTAGCCTCGGCCCTCATACTTGTCAAGTGTAGGACATGGCCAATTATTTGTGCTCTGAGGCAGGGTTGCTCAGCCTTGGCCCTGACATTTGGACTGGAATAAGCCTTTGGGAGGGTATGGAGCAGCACCCAGGTCTTTATCTGCTGGACTAGGCAGCTCAGCCCCTCCCCTCCACGTCCTGACAACCAAAAAGGCCTTAGATATTGCCGAATGTCCCCTGGGGAGAAGGCAAAGTGCACCCTGATTGAGAAATACTGGTCCACGTTAATTTGTTTATCTGTAGAGTCTCCTATGGGATATTACAACAAATATCTTCTACATTGAAGTAATACACATGAAGAGTTCTGTTAACGGAAAAGCATTCTATACATGCTGGTCCTTCCTGAGAAACTCTGGTTTATGTTAGCACAAAAGGTGCCTCACACATTGTGGCTGATCCAGTTCTGGATCTGACTTGGCTCTCTGCACTCCAAGCGCAAGGCTCTCCGTGTCTCTTATCTTCAGTGCTTCTTTATCTAATTTCTAAGGGCTCTGTGGAATCATAAAATAGTTCTACAAACGATTGTACTACTCCTTTTTAAGATTTCAGTGCCTGACGTTGGTTTAATGTTGCTTTATTCCCTACCTTGTTATTTGCAAAGAGGTAAGTAAAAGAGATTGGGCTTTAAATGTTCAAATTCAGAGAAGAGAAGGACAGGGAAGGATGTCATTTGCAGACGGAGTAACTTCTAGCAGCCTTTATTAAATCATGTCATATTGCTATGGCTGCTCATCACCCCTAGGTATATTCCATATGTGGGAGTAATGTGATGTTCCAGGGAGTGTTCTCTTGGGAAACTCAACCATGTTCTCATCCAAGTGATATAGTTTAGTGACAGAGAACGTAAACTCTGAAACTCAACTAAGACTCAAATCACTCTCCTATGGATGAGCTATGTGATTTGAGGTAAGTTGTAGGTTTGGACCTAAGTTTTCTCATTTGGGGAAATGGAATAATAAAAGTAACTCTATCTCATAGGACTGTCAAGATGGGCAATGTTGAACACAATGCCTGGTATGTAAAATGCACCAACTAAGTTCATTAGCCAAATGTCCTAGTAAGGCTAAGACAATGCCCTCTATGCATCAGGCCTTGGCTAGTACATAGTGATGTGAAAACTAAAGTTTCTGTTGTCAAGAAGCTCATAATAAATAAAGATTTTAGATGAGTATATATCTAGAAATAATTTAAGTGCACAGGAGAATGGGCATTACTTTTTTTTTTTTAACGAGAAAGCCATTCACACACTATCAAAAGATAAACAGGGACCTAGACCTGGACAGTCAGGAGACCCTGTTCTCTTGACTACAGTGACTGGTTTAAGGATAAGCATGTCCCTAAGACTAGGGGCTCTTGGATGAGACCATCTCTTCCTGCTAGGATCATTAAATTTGAAAGACAGGAATCTAGAGCCATGGGCAATCATCTTGCCCGCCATTTAAAGAATTTGAATTAGACAGAGGGGAGTGAAGGGATTGGAGGGGACATGGGGGAAGGAAGGACAGTAGACTGAATAGGATATTGTTACCCTCTGTGCATACATGACTACATGACCGGTGGAACTCTGCATCATGGACAACCAGAAGAATGATAAGTTATACTCCATTTATGTACGATGTTGTCAACGTGCATTCTACTGTCCCGAATGACTAACTAGAACACATCAAAGAATAAAATAGAAAGAAAAGAAACCCACACCAGAAATAAATAATAAAAAGAAATAAAAGTATGCCTTCAGGAAGGAAAAAAAAAATCAAAGACCTGGCCCGAGACACAGACATAAGCCAAAAGAGAGAGGCAGAGACCTTACAGCATCCTGACTTAAGCCGATAGCATCCCTTAGATGCCCCAATATGAGCCAATAATTCATTAGAAATTGAGTTTTCAGACCTTACAACTGGAAGAGTATAATCTCTTCAAAAATTTACTGAACCTGTCCAGGTGGAGGTGGTTGTGACGGGGGAGAAGAGGGTAGCGCCGTACGTCTGTTGACTGACTTGTAGCTGTGAGCTTGGTATTGAACTTGAGCATCTTCTAAAGCTCCTAACTCGCGATAGAGGATTCTGGGATGCTCTCTCTCTCTGGAGCCTACTTTGAGAAGACTGATGGATGCTGCATATTGAACAACGAGGAAGAACCTCAGCGTCCTAGGGATGAAATAATTGACCCTATATTTCTTGATATGTGACTGTTTCATATAGTTTTGCTTGATTATTTATTTCTACATATAAAGGCCAAGTAAACAATCTTATATTGGATACCGAACCTATTGTCTTTAGCGGGGTTTTTATGAGCCAGGCATTAACTATAAAGCTTGCTTTTTCTTCTTTTCTTTATTCAGTGCTAGGGATTGAACTTAGGGTCTTGGGCATGCTAGGCAAGTACTGTACCACTCACTGAGCCACATCCCCAGTGCTAAAGTTGCATTCTGAGTGCTATTCGGACGAACTCGAGGAATTTTTGAAATGTGACTCAATGCTAGTGTTTTAGATACTTGCATCCTTTATCTGGATGCTATACCGACTTAGAAAATGAGCTCTTCAACGAATATCTCTATATTGATTTATTTTTCGTGAAGATGGTGCCTGAATCTAGACCCAGGACGGTGTTATTTTCTTGTGGGTTTCTTGATGAGATTTCAAAGGATCCCTCATGCTCCGTCTCCTCCAAGTCTCTCCACCTTGGTCTACTGGAAGAGTATAATCTCTTCAAAATTCGGGCTCCTCCTAATGCTCATAACTAGTGACAGAGCCAGATACAGAGAATTGAAAATGCAAATCCATCCCTGGCTTAGAATAGGTTAGCCCTGACCTGTCTGTGGACTTTTTTTAAAAAAAAAAAAAAAAATCACTGATAATATCAGGGAAGAGTCAAAGATAATAAAGGCAGCAACATGAAAAGAGGTCATCTCGTTCACAACACAGTAAATTACCTGCAACGTACAGAAGCCCTTCTGTCCCTACTGTCATGGAGATTTCAGATGGATGGGGGATAGCAGCATATCTGGAATTATGAGATAAATTGAATCTCTTTCTGAATATGAGGTCCTGGGTTACAGCCATGGAAGAGCTCACCTTGTCAGTCCTATAAATCAAACCAGTCTGGGGACGAGGGACCTTTAAAAATGCTGATCTTTCCTTTTGGGGGGACTTTAGTTACTGATGACAAAAATCTGCCAAGTCCACAATATTCTATCACCTTCAGGAAAACGTTTATCCCCAAAATGGTGACCTCTTGGTTTTTTTTTTTTTAAGTACCTCTGCAAGGAAGCCCATCTGCTTGGGAGGGA